AGCCCCCTCATTTTTTTTTGAGGAGATTGTGTGTAAAATTTGGCGTTGGTCGTAACATAATTGGGGAGGGAATGAGCCCTCTCGCCACAGCGTGCTTGTGTGACATCATAAATGAAAAGCTGCTCTCTAACAAAATGATCATTTTTTTGTGGATGGATCATGTTTTTCAAAATTTTTCACGATATCATCTCTCTACAGATGATCTCAAGATAAACCCACAACTGAGCTGTTCAGAAGATTTTAAAAATTGGAAATGAGGTGAGCCCGATCTGATGACCACCTCCTGCATTGATCCTCTCAGAAACGAGTGTTTTCCCTTTTCTCTGTGTTCTAGGACCCAGGGTATCCACTGCTCACGGTCCAGGAAGGATCCTTGTCGTGCAGAGGTGCTGCCCAGGGCTGCCAGGGCAACGGTGGAGGAAGCCGGGGAGGGGCCAGAACAGGACAGGTCTTCTGCCCCAGGGACTTCTGCTAGTATCCCCTAGGTCCGTATGACTCTGGAGACAGACTGTAGATCTTCCTGGAAGAACACAGTCGGCTGAGAAGTCATCCGAGCTGAAATGACCAGTGAGCCAAGAGGGGCCGCAAGAGGTATGTCTCAAAGAGACCTCGAAGAGGAAGTGGATGAACTTGTCCATTTATATGGACTCGAAGATGATGATGAATTAGGGGACGAGTTTGTTAACGAAAACATGCCCAGGATAGAGGTTTCGGAATATCCTGCTTACATGGTGGCGGGGAGAGAACCAGCCGTGGAGCAGAGAGACTGGAGACTTAGTGGAGAGGCAGCAGAGGCTGAAGACCTGAGCTTCGGAGGGTGGGGCTCTGAGAGCCAGTGCCAGGATCTGCGGGAGGCCTACAGGTACACACACGGCCGGGCCAGCGAGGAGTACGAGTGCTATGTCATCCCAGAGGAGGAGGACGAGGAGGAAGCTCCTGACGTCTTCTGTGTCACTTGCAAAACTCCAATAAGAGCGTCGGAGAAGGTTCTGGATGAGCACAAAGAGCACGAGGTGACCCCCCTCAGTAAAGCCCTGGAAAGCGCCAAGGTAAGCGGCTCTCGCTAGTTCTTCTTTCTCTTGCCATTGCATCTGCTCAAGTAATCAGGCCGGGAGTAACTCTCACGTGCCTTCCGCAGAAGGGGAGGAAGGATGTAGCATTAACGTCTTGCGATCCTCTGTTTGATAGGATGAAATTCACAAAAACATGTACAGGCTGGAAAAGCAGATTATTGAGATGGAAAACTTTGCCAGTCACCTAGAGGAGGTTTTCATCACGGTGGAGGTAAGAGCACGAAGATGAGCCCGTCAGACACATGCTGCTTCGTCCAACACCATCCGGGGCAGCAGCCGTGTCCAGTATGAGGTGGAGAATTTGTGTTCTTAGAGCACGTGGTGTCACTTTTGCCCTGTCCCCTGCCCCCTGCCCTCCCCCAACCCCCTGGGCATATACCTCATGGAACCAATTAACCTGGCAGCATCCCCACAGAACTATAAGCTCTTGGTGAGGAGGCTGTGTCTTCTGCTTCTTTATCTCCAGTTTGACTACAAGGCGGGACTCTTGCATGCGCCGACCTTGACAAGGTTTTGCAGACCCCCATCCTGTCATTGATGAGTGTTCCTTTTCTCAGCTGGTACCCATTTCTCATAAGATCAGTAAGTTTCCGTGTCTGTCCCCAAACACTCACACAGCCCTGGGTGTGCCGTAGGTACGCAGTATAGATACCAGCTGTGGTGCCGTCCTCATGAGTAGACCAGGACTGAGGACCTGGGGCTTCCCGTCTCCCCTCCCTTCATGTGGATGCTCTACTTCGCTAATGCACCTCAGGCTGAACCAACAGGAGCACCTTGTACGAGTTAAAGCCCCAGGTCTATTTCTCTTCACCCCTAATCTTGAAAGGGAGGAGAGCTATGGCACTAATGCCCTAGGGAAGGTACAGAGAAGGGTAAGTCCTTCCCCTATAAGCACAGGCTGGTGGTGGGAAGGGTAAGAGTTCAGTAGGAGGGACAAAACTGCCTGCACTCTGAACGGCCAGCTCACTCTCAGGTCAGCGTATCTGCACCTCAGGGGACTCAGCTCTTCCCTTTACATTCAGCACCGGGGAGGCCTCTACTGCTTTTCCCTCTCTTCTGCCATCGGAGCAAGTCTTATACACATAGTAGGTGCTCAATAAACAACCCGTGAAGGATTGATCCTCTTGTTTGGAAATGTTATCTGATGAGGAGGGCATCAGTCAGAAGCCGCAGATCTCTCCTGGGGACGAGGGGTTGGTATGCTCTGGTCATTTCTCACCCGTTGTGCTGCAGGATAAGTACTGTCATGACCCTCCCTCGCCTTCCTGCCTTTCCTCATCTGTTAGCACCATGTGGCCACAGCCCTTATTGCCCTTTCCCTTCAAGCTTCTCTCGTTGATATGAAGATCTGTGGTCCTAGTATTTCTATAATCCACGCACCAAAGAGTGGAGGCGAGGGTCCTGAGATGTCGAGAGCTCAGGTGGGAATCTCCCAGGGCAAACATCTCCTTGCTGAGGTCCAAGGTTCCAGTGGCAGGCTGACTCAGCACTGATGATCAATTGCCTTGGTTGGTTGTCATGGTGATGGGAGGTGGGGAAAACGTGGGTGGTTTGAGAGTGAGGAGGAGGATGGCAAAATGCTGCAGGAGAGAAAGCAGTGTTTTTGTTAGGATTATCCCTGCGGTTCTAGCTGGAGACTCCTGGTCCCAGCTACCCCTGCATCCACCCAGCATCCTGGCAAGAGATAAGATGCCGGGGTGGGACTAAAACACCTCTAGGTAGCCCGAACCAGTTTGACTCAGTGGATAGAGCGTCAGTCTGCGGACTGAAGGGTCCCAGGTTCGATTCTAGTCAAGGCCATGTACCTTGGTTGCGGGCTCATCCCCAGTAGGGGGTGTGCAGGAGGCCGCAGATCGATGTTTCTCTCTCATCAATGTTTCTAACTCTCTATCCCTCTCCCTTCCTCTCTGTAAAAAAATCAATAAAATATATTTTTAAAAAACTAAAAAATAAATAAAACATCTCTGGGTAGATACGTGTTTATGCCCCAGATGACTAGCTGACACACCTCTTGCACTGAAATGATGACTGAGGCCCACTGTCCTGCAGGAGAATTTTGGAAGACAGGAACAGAACTTTGAGTCCCACTACAATGACATCTTGGAAACACTTGCTCAGAAATACGAAGAGAAAATACAAGCTCTAGTGGAGAAAAAGAAAGAGAAGCTGGAGGCCTTGTATGGACAACTGGTCAGCTGTGGAGAAAACCTGGACACCTGTAAGGAGCTCATGGAAACGGTAGAGGAGATCTGCCATGAGGAGAAGGTGGACTTCATAAAGGTCAGTCGGAAGCGAGAGGAAATAATGCGCTGACGTGACAGTTACGGCGGGAGCGGGTTCGGTGGCCCCTCTCTGCCGGGAGGGGTTGGAATCGACGTTTACGGTCAGCACCCGTTTGGTTCTCCAGGCTGTTCATGGCAGGGGGTTGTCACCCGAGAGCGGCCAGGTGGGCTCACACGCAGCTGTCCCCTTCCCTCCACCATGGCTCAGGTGACACAGGGCCCCTGTTCCCCTGTCCTGGCTGCCTGGAGGTCTGTCCCCCCATCTCCTCTTCCTTATGCTGAGCCAGAGAAGTGCTCTGAGTTTCTTGGCCATCTCTTGGAGCTCTGGGAGGAAGGCTGTCTAGTTTTAAAAAGTCACCTCCAGCCCTAGCCGGTTTGGCTCAGTGGGTAGAGTGTTGGCCTACGGACCGGATACGATTCCGATTCCGGTCAAGGGCACGTACCTTGGTTGCAGGCTCCTCCCCAGCCCAGGCCCTGGTCGGGCGTGCAGGAGGCAACCAATCCATGAGTTTTTCTCACATGGATGTTTCTCTGTCTTCCTCTCTCTTCCACTCTCTCTAAATTATCAATGGAAAAATATCCTCGGGTGAGAATTAACAAAAAATGTTGTGAAGCTATGTAAAATCTATGTGTACAGCATTATTCATATTTGTTAATTAAAGTTTAACATTAAAAAAATCAATGGAGTCCTAACAGGTTTGGTTCAGTGGATAGAGCATCGGCCTGCGGACTGAAGGGCCCCAGGTTTGATTCCAGTCAAGGGCATGTACCTTGGTTGCGGGCACATCCCCAGTTGGGGGTGTGCAGGAGGCAGCTGATCGATGTTTCTCTCTCATCGATGTTTCTAACTCTATCCTTCTCCCTTCCTCTCTGTAAAAAATCAATAAAATATATATTTTTTAAAAAGTCAATGGAAAAATATCCTCAGGTAAGGATTAACAAAACAAAACAAAGAAATAAAAAAGTCACCTCCACTGTCACGGTCACAAGTACAACAATTATAAATCTTACCTCATAAACTCAGATGTGCCAAAAAAAAAAAAAGATCCATTTCTTAATTTCCTTGAAATCTAATTAAACCTGATGCCACGCCCCCTGCAGCTGGGCTGTGCGAATTTCCTCAGTCAGAGTCGGTCCCCTTCCTGACAGTTGTGTCCGGGATGTGGGGGAGGGGCCTTGGGCCTCTAGAGCTTCCTGTTGGTCACGAGTGACCTCCACGCTGACTAAGCCCATCGTGGTCCCGCAGAGCCCAGCAGCACCTCCTTCCAGCCGTGCTTGGGTGAGGGCCCTGTGACTGGAGCTGGAAAGCTGGTTGGAAGGCACCTCTAGAGCCCTCAGTGCTCAGACCTGAACCAGCGGCCCCTCGCCCCACAATCCCACTGCATCTCGAGACATAATCCAGAAGGTGGGGAGAGAGACACGTGAGGCAGTCCTTCCCACTGCTGTTTATGATGGAGAGAAATGGGAGGCAACCAGAATGTCCAACAGTAGAAGATCGGTGAGGTACACGATGCAGTTCCCATGCAGGGAACTGCTCTGCAGTCTTTCCCATCGATGGCCCAGGGACCGTTCGTAGCATGGAAAGTGCTTGCGTAACGTTAATGTGCAAAGGTCGTGTGGAAGGAACTACACGGGCTGCGTTAGAGCGTGGGATATGGCTGGGTTTTTTCTCTTTACTAATTTCCAGGTTTTTGAATACGTTCATATTGTCTCCTTTTCTCCTCCTTTTTAGGATGCTGTGGCTATGGCTGACAGGTAATGCTTTTGTTCTCACGTGTATTTTCTTCTTCTGTTCCTTGGTGGTTTACTCCCAGTCTCAGCTTTTGTGTGAACCCCTAAGGTTAAATAATAGTGCTGGCTTCATGTGGGGAGCCGCTATAGGGTTAAACCTCGGACTGACCTGTTGGCAAAGTCACAAACAAGTCCCAGCTTAGAGGGCACAGTCCTCTTGGCATATTTAGGCTTGACCTTATGACGCCCCCTAGATCTTATCTGGGAAGCTAATGGGCTGGGGGAAGTGCAGCAAGAACAAAAACAAGTGAAACACACAAGAACAGTGTAACTATGGAAACCAATACCTTGTTTACCTCTGACTATAAAATAAAGGCTCAGCTTGCCTCAGGATCTTTCTCTGTGGCCTCAGCCAGGCACAGGAAGATCCACGGAGACTAAAGAGAGCTAGAGAGTTCTGAACGCTGTCTCCGTGTAAAACATTCTTCGCCGACTCTGTCCACACCTTTGGGAACCCCTGGACCACTGGGGCTGGACCCTGGCAGCTTCAGAACAACGGTGTGGGGTGACAGGGACCCTCTGGTACCGAACCTCAGAATCCCAGGGCTGGAAGGGAGTGTGTGGTGAGGCCCAGCCAGCACCCCTGGAGGAGCTGCGATCCAGAGAGTCCCCAGCTGTGCCAGGACCAGACCGTGCGCTGCAGAAAGCACACACATCAGAGAGTCAGACAGGCGTTCACTCCGGCTCCCCCATGACCTGGGGTGTCCAACCAGTCTAGGACCCACCTTCCTCATACAGGAAGTTCAATGGGCAGTGTCTTAAAAACAACATGAACACAAAGTTTAATAGTGTCAGAGTTAATAGCATGAGTGCAGGCAAAAGATCTGGTTTTAATTCTGCCCCTGCCACTCAAAGCCTGTGACTGCCAGGAAGCAGGTATAAGAAGACCCACGAGCCCCACTGCACGGTGGGCAAGCTGAGGGCATGTGGCCTGTGGAGAGGGAACCCCAGGGAGTCTGTACGTCTGGGGCTGGGGGTGGTGTGGGAAGGGAGCTCCCAGGTCAGCACTGGAGGGGTCTTCAGAGGGTGTGGATCTGGGGCTTAGTGGATGTCTCCCCTCTCCTTTCCCCTCATACACAGACCAGACCCACCCATCCCCATTGGTGCCCTGCTAGGTCAGCCATCGAAGCAGCAAAACCTGCCCTAGCTGGTTTGGCTCAGTGGATAGAGCGTCGGCCTGCGAACTGAAAGGTCCCAGGTTCGATTCTGGTCAAGGGCACATGCCTGGGTTGTGGGCTCGATCCCCAGTGGGGGACTTGCAGGAGGCAGCCAATCCATGATTCTCTCTCATCATGAATGTTTCTATCTCTCTCTCCCTCTTCCTTCCTCTCTGAAATTAATAAAAATATATATTAAAAAAAAGCAGCAAAACCCTCTTCATGTGTTACTAGTGGCCCAGCACACTAAAGAGACACTGAGGAGGATGCCTCTCCCGTCTTACTAGCATGTCTTTTAATACCAACAGACTCAGGAAATTCCTGGAAACAAAAACCGACGTGGAAATCTCCGCACAGCCTGCCTTGGAGGACCAGACCTTGGACTTCTCTGACGTGGAGCAGCTGCTGGGCTCCATCAACACCATCCCAGGTGCTCATCTCCCCCGGGCGGGGCGTCCCAGCACCTCCGTTCCCTGAGCGTTGAGGTAGAAACGTGGATGGCTAGAAATAACACGAAGACTTAGAAAAGTATTTCCCCTCTAGCTTCATGTTTCTGTCTTCATGGCTTGTAAGGGTGAGAACAGAGACTGACCTCCTTAGCTGAGTGCCCGCCCTCCCTCTCCGGGGTGCCAACACCTGGCTCAGGGAAGCCTCGAAGTAGTTTCCATCGTAGCGTGCCCCACTTCATCAACACCTTCACCAAACAAGGAGCCTGAGTTTTATTTCCGTAACCAGCATAGAGGTTAGGAGATGAGCTTTGGAATCCTGTGGAGTGGGCAAGAAGCCCAAGCTTGCCACTTCCTGGCTGTGTAACCCTAGACAACTTACCTAACCACTCTGAGCCTTGGTTTCCTCGTCTGTAAAATGGGCGTGATAATGCCTCGTGGGGACAGGGTGAGAATTAAATGAGGTCCTATATGTACAGCACGTCACAGGTGCCAGGTAGCTCTCAAACCTATTACTTGTAATTACTTCTGAGACTAGTACTAGAATTCAGCTTTTTTGATGGCTCACCTTCCCTCCTTACCAACACCAGCAACATTGTGAACAATATTGTATATCTCCTTTTAGGTGTGTTTTTTACGCAGATTTTTTAAAGATAAAAATGGAGTCATTCTGCTTTGTAATCTGCTCTTCCTAGCAAAATAATTATGATGTATATTCTCTCTCAGTGATAAGGGATACATTTTTCTGCAACATCATTTTTTAAACCGTGTTTGTTTAATTCTCAGCTCTTGGATGTCGGATGTTTCTAGGTTTTTCTGCCACCATAAACCGGAATACCGGCCCTCAGTCATAAGTCTCAGGGCCATTCTTAGACAGCAGTGCTGAGTCCTGCTGTCCCGCCCCTCCGGGTGGTATGGAAGGGGCAGAGGACCACACGTAGGGCAGGACTTGCAGACCATACGCCAGCCTGAGTCCCTGTCACGACCCCTCCTCCCCGGGCTCGTGCGGGTTTGTCCAAGCAGGAAGGGACACGCTGGCTGTGGCCTGCAGCTCCTGGTCGGGAGGTTTGGCCTCCCATCCTTGTCCACTCTGGGCTCCCTCGTCCATTTCCTGAGCCCATGGGAGCCCATGGGGGGATCAGTGGTCCTGAGAAGGGGCCGCCCCACCCCATCTACTTAGGCCCCCTCATCAGTGTTGGTTTTCCTCCCTTCTCCTTTTCTAGCTCCTTCTGCCCCGGTGATAAACCCGCAGGCCCCCAACTCAGCCACGGGTTCCTCGGTCCGCGTCTGCTGGAGCTTGTACTCTGATGACACCGTGGAGAGCTACCAGCTGTCCTACCGGCCAGTGCGGGACGGCTCGCCTGGGACGGACCCCGCAGGTGAGGCTCTGCCGGGAGCAGCCACGCTCCAGATGCCCTGCCTTCCTGGCAGTCGGGGGAGGGGAGGGGATGAATCTGCTCACACAGCCCTGGAGCGGTCGCCATCTGGGAACTACCCAGAGGCTGTGATGCCGGCAGGTGAGCAGGTAGAAAGGGCTCCAAAGGCAAGTCGGGGCCTGACTGGGGGACCACGGGCCAGGCTGACGTGTCTGGAGGGCATCTGCACGGTGCGGTCAGCATTGTCCTCGGGACAAGGCTCTGGCTGCAGTGTGTGCAGGAGGTGGGGCACCCCTGCTGGAGGAGGCCCAGCTGGGCTGGCGGGTCCTAGCAGGGCCTGGCCTGTGAGGGCGGCTGGCTATCCTCGGAGCAGCCCTGTGTGGGAGAAACTGTAGACCCCCATTCGACTGTAGGCAGTTCTTTTTTTTTTTAATATTTGTATTAATTATAGGGAGGAAGGAAGAGGGAGAGAGAGAGAGAAACATCAATGATGAGAGACAATCATTGATCGGCTGCCTCCTGCATGTCCCCTAACCTGGGCATGTGCCCTTGACCAGAATTGAACCTAGGACCCTTCAGTCCACAGGCTGATGCTCTATCCACTGAGCAACACCGGCTAGGGCTGTGGGCAGCTCTTGATCCAGCCTCTTCCCAGGGAAATGGAACAGACTGATGTGGAGGGTTGGGTAGCTGCCTCCCCCCATAACAGACAAGCCATTTCCTGCCGAGCGGAGAGGGTCAGGCAACAGAGGAGGCCCCGCTAAGCATCTGAAGGAATCGGATCGGCCAGTTGGCAGGGGTCTGACCCCCTATATACATGGGGTCAGAGTGAGAATGTGGGAAAGGGACTTGGAGACACCCATTTTGTGGATAAAGAAACTGAGACCCAGAAAGAAGTGAGCTGTCCATGGAGACAGCGTGAGTTATAGTGGCACCAGGATGAGGATCCAGTCCCCAGGCTCCTGCCTAGAGCTCTGGTCCTTGTGCAGGGGAGGGTCCTGAGTGCCGAAGGAGAGGAGGGTTCTGCCCAGGCACCGGCAAAGGAGGGGCATTCTTGAGAAAAGTAAGAATGAGTTTAAGCAGTGATGAGCGAGGGCACAATGAATAGGAGCCACTGGCCTGTTTTAGGGTTAATTCTTCTTTCTTTTCTTTCCAGAGTCTACAGTGACCGTCAAGGAGACATACTGCTCAGTGGCAAACCTTGTGCCAAATACTCAGTATGAGTTTCGGGTCACAGCTCAGAACAGGGCTGGTCTCAGCCCCGCCAGCGAGTGTGCAGTGTACATGACAGGTACCGGAGCCCTTGTTCCTTCGAGGCACACGGGGGTCACGGCTTCCTTGGTGTGGCGGGATCTTGATTTCATTTGGATGGACGGGGGTAGCTGTGTATTTTTTTCCTTTTATCTAATACACCAAATCCACATGCCCGATACTGCAGGGACGTTTCCTCGTAGTTGGTCTCAAAAGGTCAAAAAGCACTGCTTTGCCCTAACCGGTTTGGCTCAGTGGATAGAGTGTCAGCCTGCGGACTGAAGGGTCCCAGGTTCGATTCTGGTCAAGGGCATGTACCTTGGTTGCGGGCACATCCCCAGTGGGGGGTGTACAGGAGGCAGCTGATCGATGTTCCTCTCATCGATGTTTCAAACACTCTATCCCTCTCCCTTTCCCTTCCTGTCTATAAAAAAATCAATAAAATATATTTTAAGAAAAAAAAAAAGCACTGCTACTCTCAGTCACAGGGCCGGTTGAACCTCGCAGCCCTCCTCCAGTCCAGGTCCACCCAAAGGGATTCCTGGCTCCTGTTCCGGCTGCTGTAACAGAACTACAGACCAGCGGGCGGCTTAGAAACCAGACTCTCACCTCTCACACTCTGGGATGGGAGTCCCCGTCCTGGTCCATAGGCAGCTGTGTCCTCCGTGAGGAAAGGGACAAAGGAGCTCTTTTGTTCTCTTCTATAATAACCCCTCCAACCTCATGACAACCCCTCCCCCCAAGACTCCAGATGCCATCACACTGGGGAGGTTTCAGCACATGAATTTGCTGAAATTCACACAGTCTACGGCACCTGGCTTGCTTTTCATGGTCCTGAATGTCCTGTGGAAAGTGTGGTTGTGATGCTGTCCGTGCTCTGGACCAGGCGACTGGGTGTGAACAGAACGGTGGTTCACCTCTCCCTTTCCTTGCGTTTAGCACCTTCTCCCCCCGTTATAAAGAGCAAAGAGGTGAGGAGCTGTGAGGAGGCTGCGCTGGTTTGCTGGGAGTCTGGGAACCTGAATCCTGTGGACTCGTACACGGTGGAGCTGATCCAGGCGGAGACGCCGGGAGCCTCGGGCGTGACTGAGTGAGTCCCGAGGGGCATTTGCTGGGGCACAAGAGGTCTCGCCCCTGACACAGCCCAGGAAATGTGAGGCGTCTGCAGAGGAGGTCAGAATGGGAGACCCTCAGAATGTGCTTAGTGTTCGTGAGAAGTCGCAGGAATGCTTTACTGAAGCTGAACGATGAGCGAACGATGAGTGAATAAATAGTTGAACCTCAGGTTTCCTTTTGTAGCCCAAAGGTTTACCATTCATTCATTCAACAAGTATATGGGCCCGGGTGGTGCCAGGGCCCTGCCCTTAAGGAGCTGGCAGTCCGGGGAGGGGGTGGGGGACAGACAAGAAACAAAACAAATGCATGAAATGTTCTCTGATGAGAAAGGACTGTAGTGAAACAGGAATGGGTGGAGGTGGGAAACGCCTCAGGACCCAGCAGATGTTTAAACTGAGACCTGAGGGAGGGGAGGGTCAGGGTCTGAGAACCATGGATGCCAGGATGCTCCTGGGAGGCAGCCACACGGCTCAGTGTGAGGTGGAGCTAAAACCCACCTTGCGGGTGGAAAAGGGAGAGGACGACGGCACGAGGCAGACTCAGGTCAGAGTGCAGTGTATGGAGAGCATGGTGTCCGCGGTGGGAGGCTGTGTGGGAACCAGGGATTCCCTGGTTCCAAAGGGGGGCCTGAGCTTTGCACAGTGGCAATGAGGTTTATCCGAGGCGCGGGTATTGCTAATTGAAGCCTTTTCCCAATACCCTGCCTGACGACTTGGTAGTTGGCACTGGCAATTACTGACGGTCTCTACGGAGACTAAGAAAAAAGAAAGAGAGGCCTGGTGGGTAGGCTCGCAGTGATGCGGCTCTGCTTCCTTGCCCAGGTCTGTTGTGGGCATCCCCACCTGCGAGTCCCTGGTGCAGCTGCAGCCCCGGCAGAGCTACACGATCTACGTGCGTGCCCTCAACGTGGGGGGCCCCAGCGCAAGAAGCGAGCCCGCCACAGTGCACACCACAGGTCTGTGCCCCCCCCCCTCCCCGGCCCCCCGCCACACTCTGGGACCCGCAGTGGCCACATGGCAGACCCAGTGCTGCTGAGACTTCACGGGAATAAGCACAGGCTCACAGACGGGAACGCCTGGCAAACCAGGCTGGGAGGGGCTCAGAGCCCCGCGGCCTCACCTTACAGGTGGGAGACTGAGGCCTGAGTCACACAGCAGTTTTTGCCTGAGCAAGAACTCCAGGTTTCCCCCACGCCCCTCGGGTGGGCTGGAGCCTGTCACACTGGACCTGGGTGGCCCAGACACCTCCTGTCTCAGCCTGAACACCACCCGGGGGTGGGTCTGTATGAAATTCCAGGAGGAGCCCTTTGCTGTGGTGCATCTCCCCACCCTCAGGCCCACTTAAACCTGGCCATCCACCTCCTCCCAGGCCCTCTCTGGCCCTGGTGGGTGCCCACATCCCCAAGTCCAGCCCCTCCCCCTTCTCACTTGCCATCATCATGTCGTCGAATTGTCACATCTCATGTCCAAGTCTTGAGTCAGTGGGACAGCCAGCACTGGAAACATTCTGGGCACGGCTGTCCCTCACTGCTCTGGCTCTGGGTGCTGCGCTTTGCACTCCTCCCGTCCCTCCCCGAGCAGGTCCAGCTCAGGCGGTTGGTCATGTGCCTGTGAGAAGCAGAAGCAGGGAGCCGGGGCTCAGGAGACAATGTTCCCTCCACCGGGATCTGTCACTGAGGGACACTGGGTCATTTTGTCCTCTTTTCGGTGCCAGGAGGAGAGGTCTGCGACTAGTCCCCACTTACAGTCCTTCCGTAGATGGGAAGACAAGTTAAGTGGCCGCCTGAGGTGAGAGGTGTCATGCCGGCTCAGGGCCCGTGTTTTCATTTCTGTTGTGCTGGGGCCTCCTTGGCTTGGCGTGCCCCTTGGATTTCCTGCTCTGAGTTCCTGTTTTGAAATGTCAAACTCTGGCTATTGCAGTACAAGAGAGCAGAGTGAAGGGTACAGCCAGCTCTGATCATAAAGTTGTCTCTGAATTAATGTGTTCAAATAACTTTTTAAGAATATGTTTGTGAAAAATTCAAAAGAACATGAGTCAGCAAAAACCATGGGTGCTTGTTTGAGGCTAGGGAGCAGGCTGTGAGGCCACGTGCGTGTCAGCTGCTGGGAGGGCGTCTGTCTGCTTCTCGCCGGTCAGCTCAGACGGCAGGTGACGTTCCCAGCGGCATCGAATTGTGAAAGTAACTGGACAGCTTCATGGCGATGCTTGAACTGGGGTTTGAGATGATGAGAGGTGATAGGATGAGAAGTTAAGGAAAGAATTCGGCTGAGACGGTAATGGAGAATGAGCTGGACTGGCTCTGGGAGGGGTGGGAAGAGCCACCCGGCCAGTGCCCCGTGCAGAGCTCGGCACCCAGAGCCACAGCAGCACAGGCACGGCAGATGGACAGGATGTCCGTAAATAATGGATGTGTTTACTAAATAGTTTTTTATGAAATCTATTCTGTACCCCTTCACTCTGACTTGGGGGTGGCTATACGGAACCCCACTGTTGTATTTGAAAGTTGGATGTTGAATTTTGCTGACCTTTGTCCAACTGATCATTAAAAGTGCCCCCAATTCCTGTCTCCCTGTGGGTGAGAGATGCCCGTCCACACCCAGCATCCTCCGGAATCCGAGGGGCTCGGGGGTCAACCTTGAGTACCAGCATCTGCCAGCTGATTTCTTAACCGCCTTTGCCTCAGTTTTCATATCTACAAATGGAAGTAATAACACCTGTTTCGAAGGGTAATTGTGGGGATTGAATGGGAGGAGACCTGCAAAGTGCTTAGCTGAGTCACCGCCCAATACCTGGGCACTGCCATCCCCACTATGAGACTGGCGCACGACCTACTGCGCTAACGGGCACCTCTGCCGTCCCCACTAGCACAAGGGTTATCACGGGAGGTCCAGGCGGAGGGAACACTCCGGAAGCTAAGGGCGCGATGTGCAGAGCTCCCTGGGCCCGTGTGGCGGCGATGCAGAGACAGGAGTGACTGGCTGCTGATACCCACCTGGGTTTGCTCCCCTACAGGCAGCTACTTCCGCCTGAACGAGCAGACCTGCCATCCCTGGCTGACCATTTCTGAAGACGGGCTGACAGCTGTCCGGAGCGAGAGGAAGACCCCCACAAGGGCGCCGCCCCCCAGCAGCACCCGCTTTACGAGGTAGGTCCCGTTTCCACCGCTCACTAGAGCGTTCTGTGGACCTCCCTAATATACGCTGTTATTCAGTAAAATCGGATTAAGACAGATGCAGCTTTGAAGGGGGAAAGAAATCCCAGAAATAGGGGCTTAGGGGCCTGGTGGTGAGGAGAGGCTGGTGGGGGCAGAAGGGACCTGTCGTGGCCTCTGAGGTCCTACCCTGGGCTGCGGGCCCTGGAGGAGGCAGCCCACCAAGCCCTGGCACGGGGGTCACGCTGCCAGGCCACCGTGGGAGGAAGAAACCACCTCTAGCATCAGTCAGGCGAGCCTGGAGAGCTCAGGGTGTGCCACCTTACAGGTGAGGTGCTCACAGGGCCTCCACTCGTATAGACCACCTGCTGGCTGACCCAGCAGTCAGTGCCACTCACCTGCACGGCCAGGCCTGGTCACCTCAATCACATGTATTTCCACTTTCTAAACCAGGTGCGTCGCGGTCATGGGAAACCTGATTCCGGTCCGAGGGCGCCACTACTGGGAGGTGGAGGTGGACGAGCGGTCGGACTACACGGTGGGTGTGGCCTTTGAAGACGTCCCCAAGCAGGAAGACCTGGGCGCTAACTGCCTGTCCTGGTGCATGAGGCACACGTGGGCGTCACCAAGGTAAAGCATTCTGGGTACCCGAGACCGGCATTGGCTTTTGAACGAATAGAGGGAGAGGTTTTCCCACACGGAGTAAGGCCTACAGTGCGTGTTATAAAACAGCCTTAGACATTTCAGGGCTCGCTGCCAGCCGTCTAACACATCTGGGTTGTATTCTCAGTGTTCCTCCCAGTTGCGTGGACCAGCATGTTGGCACACAGCTCTTCAAACGTCTGCGGGTGGCAGGGCTAGGGGATCCCTGTGTCTGGTCTTGGTTTCAAAGCACAGAGGATACGGCTGGAGCCGTGTCACACTGACCGGTGACAGGCCCCCGGATGCCCTCTGAGTTTCAGAATTGGGTGCCTTAGAGCACTCGTGCAGAGTGTACCAAAGGCCACGACATTCCCTGTTTCCAATCTCCTTATTACAAAGGAGTTTGAACCTCAAAACCCAACAGTTTAAAACATGTGCTATGTCTGTACAAATGTGGGTGCAATGTGAGCTTATAATACTACGTAAGTTTCTTAGGTTAAGAGGTTGCTCAAAAACAAAGTTTAAAATGTATGTTACTTAGAACTAATTTTAGAAAAGATAGAATAGTTGTAGAAATGGCTTGTTACCTTGGTAGTCTTTAATAAAAAAATAAAACATAATCATAGGAGTATTTAAACAAAGCTGTATAAAATGTTCTGAAAACAACCCACCTACAGAATTTCTGAAAATTTGTTATGTATTTTAGACATAAGTATGAATTTCTGCACAACAAGATGACTCCAGATATAAGAATCACAGTTTCCCCAAAGAAGATTGGCATTCTGTTAGACTATGAAAACTCAAAATTATCATTTTTCAACGTGGACATTTCTCAGCATCTATACACGTTTAGTTGTCAGCTTCACCAGTTTGTGCATCCCTGTTTTTCTTTGGAAAAGCCTGGGTGTCTGAAGATACACAACGGCATTTCAGTGCCAAAGCACGTCACTTTCTACTAGACCATGCTGGTGCCCTGCTCTCCGTCTTCTGTACCCACCCTCCCTCAGCCACTCCCGCCTCAGCAGTCAAGCACCATGCACCCAGCAGCACAACTTGGACTCGTGTTGTTACCCGGCAGCCTGGTTGCTGGCACGCGCTTCCCTGACCTGGGTTTTGTCCTGTGACCTGTGTGATGCTATTAGTCATGACCAGGCCTGGCTGTAAAGTCAGGGCTCAGACTAAATAAACTCAGCAGTTCTTCAGCTTGTCAACGTGTGTTGGTCTGTGTTCATGCAAAGTATCTGAGTCTCTAAGGCCTACAGAGCTTGGGGGTTGGGGGAGAGATGCAGGAGTGTCAGGGGCTACAGCATCCCCAGCTCACTCGTGACATTTCATTAGCCAAGAACAGACCTGAGAAGGCAGGTGTCCACAGAGAACTGGAAGCAGTGTGTCCTCTCCTGTTTTCCCAGTAGTTAGCACTGTGATGCAGCTTCTCCAAACTACACTCTTTATTTCCTTATTTTTTTATTTTTTAATATATTTTTTTATTCGGAGAGGAAGGAAGAGGAAGAGGGAGAGAAACATCGATGAGTCATTGATCAGCTGCCTCCTGCATGCCCCCTACTGGGGATCGAGCCTGCAACCGGGCATGTGCCCTTGACCGGAATTGAATCTGGGACTCTTCATTCTGCAGGCCAACACTCTATCCATTGAGCCAAACCGGCCAGGGCTTTTTTAAAAAATATGTATTTTTTTATTGATTTCAGAGAGGAAGGGAGAGGGAGAGATAGATAGAAACATCAATGATGAGAGAATCATTGATCAGCTGCCTCCTGTATGACCCCTACTGGGGATCGAGCCCACAACCCAGGCATGGGCCCTGACCAGGAATCGAACTGTAACCTCCTGATTCATAGGTCGACGCTCAACCAGAGCCACACCAGCCATGCAAACTTAGATTCTTTATAACACCCTGTTCCTCCTTCATAGCACTTACCCCATTCTAATCGTGAAATGACCTCTGTGTCTAATCCCAGGAAGGCAGGAACAGTGTATCTTGTTCATCACTCAGTCCCCAAGGGCTAACAGAGGGGTGGACGCCAAGTACCTTTGAATAAACGAGTATTTTCTTTGTGTCACCACTGCTCTTCCACCTCTCTGTTCTCTATACGAGGTAGGATGGGGCTCTTTCAAAATTTAACAAAGGCCCTGCAGATGGAGAACCCGGACAGGAGGCAGCGTGATGGAACAGGGCACCTGTGGCTTGATGGCAAGATTGGGGAAAGTGGAACACTACTTACACTACCCACCTCCTCGTATCACAGACGCCTGCACATGAATGTGCTTTCACTGTGTTATTGGGGTGGGGGAATAGGCACTTTTAGTTGTCAGCGTCACCAATGTGTGCATCCCTGTAAAAAATAAGAGTGTTTGTAACTAATTCTGGGAGTGTCCCTTAATGTAAAGAGAACCAGATTGGAAATCAAGACCTAGATGTGACTGCTACTTTGTAGCTCCTTTGCCTTCGAACCCTAGAAAAGTCACTTATTCTTCCAGAGCATCTGTTTCAAAAAACAAAAAAAAATAATACATTCTTGTCTCAGAGGATTGGGAGGTTTCATGACAAATGTGAGCGTGCACAGCCGTGTATGGCGTACAGCAAATGTTCTTAAAAGAGAACATCAGCCCAACGGGCAAAGCTGAGCCTGGGGGCAGAGTGGTCCCCAGCCAGCGCCTCTGGGGCACTCTGCCTCGCTGCTCTCATGCCGCTCTCTGACCGCAGTGCCCGGCCCCACTGGCTGCACTCCTGGCTCTCCAGTTCTGGTTTCCAGTTGCCACCAAAAGCTTTGCACACACAGCATTTTCAAGCTTACGGGTCAAGATGCAGAGTAGATGATTCTTTTTGTGAAGCAATTCTCAGAAGCCATTTAGTGCCCCATGGATGCCTCTCTGAACGACAGTCCCTCACCTCATCACTTAAGATTTTGTGTTAACTTAAAAATCTTTCACTCTAAAACATTTGTGTTTTCTAGCACGCTCAAAGTCGGACACAATGAAACCTCTCATCTCCTGTCTCAACTCTGCCTCTTGTTATAAACAGCAGCTCAGATTCCTGAATTAACAACTCACCTTTACACACACACACACCTGCCCTGGATCACTACCTTGAAACATGCACAGTACAGCCCATATAAGCACAAAGATGCTTCAAACTGTCAACAATTTTAACTAGTGGCCCAGTGCATGAATTTGTACACATTGAAAGGAAATTAATTAGAAGGTGGCCAATGGGGCAGGGCGAGATGGGCCAGACACACCCTGGAGCCAACCTCCCGTAGCTGGTGGTCCCGCCGGCCGTACCTGGGGCTGCGCCACGGCTAAGGGCATCTGAGAAGTGAGTGGGGTCCCTCGGCCTGGCCTGTGGGGATCGGGCCAAAAGCTGAGGGGTCCTGGAGTACGGGGGCACTCTACAAAGTTGCTGTTGCTTGGCAGCTCCTGCATTGAGCGTCTGCCCCCTGGTGGTCAGTGCGCATCATACCTACCCGTCGCTTAGCCTTTTATATAGAGATTATATGTATACTGAAAAATGTCCTCAGCTACTGCAACAGGAACTATGGAGTAGGAAGTAGGATATCACAGATAAGGTCGGGTTGAATTCAGGGTTCTTGTAGGCTTTATGGTGTACTTCGCAAACAATATGAACGTGGTTAAAATGGATAAAAACTTGACACCTAGAGGTTAGTAAAATTTTATTTGACCAAGAATAAAACCATCTACAAGTGGCTTTGACATTTAAAATCCATTTAATTTAAGCATCATAATTATTTACCATAAAGAATTTTTGTTTAAACTGTTTCTCATCTTCTACAAGAAGAAAAATTAAGTCTAGGACAGAAGCAAATAAAACTTTTGTTTCTTGTAAAATAATCCAGTTCCTTAAAATGCCAGAAATCATCTGCTGAAACTAAACTTCAACAAGGGCAGGATTTACCTCAAGGCCATGTTCACCTGCAACCTGTTAAAAAAAAAAAAAAAAAAAAGATTAAAAAAATGCCAGATCACTGTAGCCACAATTCCTGACACTGGGTAATTGAAATAAAAGACATCAAAATCTACCACTTTATAACTCCTGAGTAGTTATTAACATAAGCTTTGGCTTCCATCAACAAAAGGGAAAGAGAATATGTGGGAAAAAGCACAGAATCTTGGTATAAACTAACATGGGCTTAGTGATTCAGAATACTCAGAATATAAGTATCACCCTTACTACGTGGGATTGGAAAGTTAGTGAGACTTGGCATATAAAATGACATCGGTTTCTGGTATAATGAAATTGCCTTTCATTTGGAAAAGTGTATGCTTAATAGTGACTTCCTGCAGGTTCAAATGATATGTAATCACTCATACACATTCAATAAACTATTTCTGAAGCAGAGCAACTGCATGGGCATGTGGGTCTCTATCCAGGGAGGTTTAGCTACCAGAAAACTTCCTGGACCCACTCAATACTACATTACGGGAAAGGTCCTCTCCCCCTTTCTTAATCGTCCCCAATTTCTGATCACTTCCTATCAATGAGTACAGTAGATTCTCCTGGGTTCCCCCTGTCTTCCACCCTTTCTAAGCTATAAACTTACCACTGCTATCTTATAATATGACCATGGAAAGTGCGTAATTGCTGTTGGTAGATCAGTAGGTCTCGAATTTATTTTGCAAACAAGACCTGTTCTATCTACCTTTTAATGTAGGAGGCTGAAAGCCGAGTCAGCTTGACTTCAAGGACTCTGTTTTCTTAGTCTCCAGAAGAACACGACCCAGTCCAGCTTTTAAAACACTGTCCTAGCCCTAACCGGTTTGGCTCAGTGGATAGAGCATCGGCCTGCAGACTCAAGGGTCCCAGGTTCGATTCCGGTCAAGGGCATGTACCTTGGTTGCGGGCACATCCCCAGTAGGGAGTGTGCAGGAGGCAGCTGATCGGTGTTTCTCTCTCATAGATGTTTCTAACTCTCTATCCCTCTCCCTTCCTCTTTGTAAAAAATCAATAAAATATATTTTAAAAATAAATAAATAAAACACTGTCCTAGCATGTTAGGATTTTAATGGAATGGCCACCTATCCTTTTCAAGCTTACTTAAGAGACCTGAACTCTCATATATACCTGCTTCCCTGCAATCAGTGGTTAATGAATCTAAATGCAAGATAAAGAATTTAGGATTTGGAAAGACAACTCCAGCCAGGCAGCATCTTTTCCTTGTAGTATGAACTTGGACTCTAATCTTGCTGCCCCTCATGCTCATTCCTAAGCCTAGATGTGAGACTCTCCTTTGAAAGGAGCGTAGGAGAAGCTGTTAGATTCAAACAGACTGGATTGGAGGCAAGAATATAATGCATCCACCGGGAAATATAATGCATCCACCAAACAAAATTGAGGTTTCCCCAGTGTGCTTTTTAATATATGTATTATTGATTTCAGAGAGGAAGGGAAAGGGAGAGAGAGCTAGAAACATCAATGATGAGAATTATTGATGGGCTGCCTCCTGCACGCCCTCTACTGGGGATCGAGTCCACAACCCAGGCAAGTGCCGGTGATTGAAATCCAACCAGGGAACCTTCAGTCCACAGTCTGACGCTCTATCCACTGAGCCAAACCAGCTAGGGCTCCAGTGTGCTTTTAAAAAAAAAAATATATATATATATATATATAATATTTTATATATATAAAATATATATATATAGATATATGTGTGTGTGTGTGTGTGTGTGTGTGTGTGTGTGTGTTTTATTGATTTCAGCGAGGAAAGGAGAGGGAGAGAGATAGAAACGTGCCCTGACCGGGAATCGAACCGTGACCTCCTAGTTCAAAGGTCAACAAGCCATGCCAGCCGGGCACCCCGAGTGCTTTCTAACAAAGCAGGAACTTGGTTTTTAGAGATGGATTTACTGAGTATAAACATTACTTCTTTGTAAACCTGTTCTACCACTCCGCCCCTGAGAAAGATTCCTACCCTTGCTCTTCCTTTCCATCCAGTTAAGGGGGGGAGAGGGACGGTGAGATTAAAAAAAAAAAAAGAACAAGAGAAGCACTATCCAAAAGAAAGAATAGAGCTATGGAGAAAGGTATAAGATATCTGACATCGTCTTACGTACAATTTACAGGTTAGAAACCAGCCACAGACTCCCTAGGCACCAAGAATGGACCTCCTCTTCCTCGTCCAAATTAATGCGACAGATGCTGATGCCTCCAGAAGTCACAGGTTCAGAACATCTGGGT